GGTAATGTTTATCACCTCTACTAATTAGCATGACGTAAATTTCCATGCTTCCTCCTCAAATATAATACATTTTTTAAAATTTGTTTGTGTGTGTGTGTGTGTGTGTGTGTGTGTGTGTGTGTATCACACAGAACATCCCAAACCATCTTATTCGACTATACACCCACTTCCCCAATGGCACCCTCCCATAGCCTCCCTTCCCCCCACTAGATCCCTTATACTCTGATATCCCTGCTACTCTCTGCTGTGTTGTTGGCACCCCCAGCCCTTCTCCACTGCTTGCCCTTCTGGTGAATCTAGTCAGCCTATCTAGAGGTATTTGTTTTAGGAGGGTCAGCTGTTCCTAATCTAGCAGTAATCAGTTGTCAATAGTCCTTTAGATAAGATTGGGGTCTGCCGTTTATTTTCCCAGTTCTATGCTGGGTTACTATCCGGGAGTCCCTTTGGCCACCCTGGCCAACAACTCAAAAGAAGGTATTGCCTGTCTGGCATTGTTGCTTGTTATGTAGCCTTTAGTTATGCAAATGGACTCTTAAGAAATTATATTGGCCCCTTTAATTTGGTTATACTTTACTTTTGGGTGTTTAAGGCCATACAGTTGGCCGAGATAAACCAATTTATTATTACTCTTAAGGTTGTTGAGGATCTGCTCCTCAGGTGTCACATGGGCTTGGGAGGAGCCCCTGGCTCCTTTCTTTTACCAGTTCCACCTATGTGAAGATAAGTCAAAGGTCCTGCTCAACCATGGTTGGCTTTGCTTGGAAGCATGGAGGAAATGATTCCTCTGTGTTGACCCTCCTCTTTGTAGACTGGAAACTGGTTCATGTACATCTCATGGGGTCTCCTCGGCTTTCTTGATCAAGAGGACAGATGACCCACCACAATTACAGGATATTTTGGAGATGCTCATAGTCCCCTGGAACTAGTCGACTTAGGAGGGCAAGGAGAAAAAATGTCCTTTATGTCCCTCTGACAAAAATAGTATAGGCCTCAAAGTATGTCCTGTTAAACATCCAAGAAGATTAGTTCCACAAGTCTGGTACTTTTAATTACTGTGTGTCACGTAGATAAATCTTGGGAAAGACCATTACCATGTGCCATGTAGATAAAGCTTGGGCAAAGACCAATTGTTCTCAGATAAACCTTACCTAGACATATATTCCTTGATCTGGTATGTATAATTTGTCAGTAGGTTGTTGGAGTAACATGGTTCCCTCTGGTTTTCGAAACTAGCTAGGCTTGATGGACTCTTAACGATTGAAAAAATGTCTGTTTTCTTTTCATTTTATTAGGCTTGCCGGATGAGAAAGGTCGACTACAGATCCTGCACATCCACACAGCAAGGATGAGGGGGCATCAGTTACTCTCTGCAGATGTGGACATTAAAGAACTGGCCGTGGAGACCAAGAATTTTAGTGGTGCCGAACTCGAGGGTCTGGTGAGAGCAGCACAGTCCACTGCTATGAACAGACACATAAAGGTGAGGGAGATCAACTAAATAGGTGAGGGTGTCCAGCCTCTGAGTGTCATGCCTGTTTTTCTTTCTGTGCCAAGGAGAGTAATGCTGACTTTGGGTGGAGAAGAGAGCTGGAGTAAGGGTATATTGGCTGCTGCTCAATCTACAGAGTAGGCGACGGACATAATAGCATCTGCCCTAGGTTGCCACCTCCTGACACAGACTTTCAAGATTTGTTGTTTGTTTTATTTCAATCTTTATGCTGTATTATGTTATAATATGTCATAAATAGCTGAGTATTCAGTATCCAGGAGCTGTTTCATGCAGCAGACACACTGAATACTTGTTAAGGTTTTAGGCTAGAGACACAAAAAGTGATGAATCTTGACCTCTTGCTTTAAGAGGTTCAGAGTCAGGAAAATGGACATGCTTATAATTAGTGCAAATGTTAGGATTTGGGGCTTTGTTTTGTCTTTTGTTCTTGAGGAATTAGGGGTGAATTCAGGGCCTTACAAAGTGCTATGTTCTATCACTGAGCTATGTCCCAGCTCTTTTCATTATTTTTATTTTGAGACAGGGTCTTGATAAGTTGCCCTGGTAGGCCTTGAGCTTTATGTATCCCAAGCAAGCCTTGAACTTGTGATCCTCCTGTCTCAGCCTCTTGAGTAGATAGAATTACAGGCATGCACCACTGCCCTGCTTGTCTTAAATAATAGCAAAGCTACCATGGTAACAGTATGTATCAAGGTACTTTTGTTAGATAAGGCTTGGTAAATAAAGAACTCCTGAAAGTGTTCTTCATTAAAATAACCCTACCTGGATGTGTGCTCAGGTTTCACATTTGATATTCTAAAAAACAAATTCACTTTTTGCTTTCTTTCCTACTCTTCTCTCTTTTTATGCTAGTTTCCTAGGCTCAAGATTGCAGAGCTATTTCTGATTCACAGGCTCTGAGCCTTGGGTCAGATCACCTGTGGATGTTATCGGTTCTGTCTTCTGCTGTCCTTGCCACTGCCACTTCTCTTTGTCTCACCTTCTCCTTGTAGAGCGCTCTGCCCTTCATGGTAGCCATCATCTACAGAGCAAGTACAGACTTCTAGCCTGGTCTTGAAGGTCCTGGATCTGACTAACTGGCCCCTCCATACGTTTTCCTGTTTTTTCTCCTTATATTTCAGCCAAACTGGAAAACTCACCAGTTATCAAAGATTATTTTATTTTCTCTCTGCTTTGGTTTTTGTGAGTGTGTATGCTCTTTGGTGAATCATTGTGCCCTTAGTTTACCTCTTTTCACCTGGCCTGTGTGCTCTCCTTTGCTTAAGCCTTTTCCAATTTTCCCTTTCAAGAATGTTCTTTCTTTCTGAAACAGTAAAATCTCATGTATGATTCCTCCAACTGATTTCGATTCAAAATAGGTTCCTTGGTTTAGTGAGATGTTCAGCCAGTAAAGGTGCTTCCTGTGCAAACCTGACAACCTGAATTTGATTATTGGACCCACATGAAGATGAAAGGAAAGAACCAGCTCCACTGAACCCACACCTGCGATTTCAGGAGCTTCCCCCAACCCATCATGCATGCATGCATGTACTGATAATAAACACATTCTTGGGCTGGAGACATGACTCAGTGGTTAAGAGCACTGACTGCTCTTGCAGAGGACCCAGGTTCGATTCCCAGCACTCACATGGCTCCTAACAACCATCTGTAACTCCAGTTCCAGGGATCTGCTGCCTTCTTCTGACCTCTGCAGGCATTGCATGACACGGGTGCACTTACACACATGCAGGCAATACACTCTACACATAAAATAATAAAATATTTTTAAAAAAATAATAAACACATTCTTTAACAATTTATATACAAAATAGATACATTACTGGGCTTCCTGATGTGTGCCTATAATCCCAGCACTTGGGAGGCTGAGGCAAGAGGTTTGCTGTGATTTTGAGGTCAGTTTGGAGTACAAAGCAAGCAGCAGGCCACCCAAGGTCACATAGCAAGGCTCCTTCTCAAAACCTCCCCCCAACACACACACACACACACACACACACACACATTTAGTACCGACTGTATACTGCATGCTGTACAAGGTGTTAATGCTATAACGTCAAGAAAGAAACTGCTGACTATTGTGCAGCACATGCAAAAACAGAAAATGATCGAGGAAGTCAAAACCTTTGTATGTGGTCAGCCTGCGAGGTCAGAGAAACCTTTGCAGAGGAATTTTCCAGGAGGATGTGAGTGGCTCTTGGTGTGTAGAGGGAGCAACGTTTGCAGAGGAACAGGGACAGAGTAGCATAATGGGTCAGAGTAATTTAGTACTGCTTCAGCATGGAAGCTAGGGGAGGGGTGCTGGAGAGAGACATTGTTGGGGATAAGTCAGGAGACTAAAGCAGGGGATGGAACACAAAGAGTCTTTTGTACTCTCCTAAGAAGTACGGACTTTTTTCTGTGAGTAGTGTTAAACCATTGAAGAGTTTTAAGAATAGTAGTGACATAGTGTTAAAACATAAGATCAGCCTGGCAGCTGTGTCAAGTGGAGTATTTAGGGGAGTGGAGTTGGTGGCACAAGACAAGAGAGGGGAACTTTTTTATAATACATCAGGCAGGTGGTAACAAAAGCCTGAAGAGTGAGGTTGAATATGTTGTAGTTATTTGAGGGCATGCAGTTAATGGTTCTAGACTACAGCTACCAAACCTGCTTAGTCACTAGTTCTTATGCATAAAGCTTTCTCTTGAAATGCAGTCAGATCCATTAATTTGTGTTTCATCTGTGGCTGTATTTATGCTATAATGACTGTTTGTCTGCACAGAAGCTACATGGCCTGAAAAACCTTTCCAAAAAAGGTTTGCCCATCTGTGTTCTAGCCTTTAAGTCCATATCTTATTCACCTCTGAATCTCCTACAGCTCCCCCTAAGTACTGGGCACATAGTCCATCCATATACTTTAAATTAAATTTATTTATTTTGAGGTGGCAGCAAGTGCCTTTACTTGCTGAGCCATCTCATCACCCCTGTAATGTATTTTTAATAAACCGTATCCATACTCACAGTTTCTCTGCATAAAGACAGTAACTCTTAGCCCATTTTCCCAAAGGTCTAGATAGCATGAGAATTTAGAGTTGGGCCGTGGATAGCATGGATCCATTCATCCATGCAAAGCCTGTTTTTTTCATTCTTCCTCCTTGCCGTGAGCAGTGAGATGAGATGGCTCAGCTGTTGAAGGTACTTGCTGCCAAGCTGACAACCTGAGTTCCATTTCCAGAACCTACCTGGTGGAAGGAGAGAACTGACTCCCGCAAGTTGTCCTATGACCTTCACACATACAGTGTGGCATGCATGACCTCCCCCCCATCATATACACACACACACACACACACAAAATAATAATGGTAAATTTAAGAAAGAAAATAAAATTTAAAAGGTAGAACTTTAAAACATCTAAAACATTCAACAGTTTGTTATGATATTCTGTTCTTAATGGTATAAAACTGCATTGTAAGCTTCATTTTTATTTCCTTTTCAAAACAGTCCTGAAAAAGATTTAGTCTGGTGGACAATGTAAGTCTTTCCTACTGAGCAGTGTTTTTAGTTATTTTGAAACAAGTGGAACATCTAGTCATTAACTATCTGGTGTTTGTGTCATCTATACTTGAACCCATATTTTTGATCAACTAAAACCATTTAACATTTGGTTGTTTTTATTTTGAGAGAAATTTCTGCTTCAGGTAGAGAAGATTCCTAACCCAAATTTCCTCTCTGATCTGTTGAAAGGAATAAACAGAGGACACACACATAAACGCTTTACAGCTGAATCAAAGTTCTGAGCTCTGTATGCGAACTTCAGTAAAATTATTTCTTATTTTCTGTAGACCTTTTGATTGATTAAAGTCATTCTACCCTTAATTTAAGAGGAATGATAAGAACCTGGAAAGGTCAGATTTAAAAGGTTATGAAATTTAAGGGTGACCCACTGATATTTGCTAGTGTTGAAATACAGGTTTATGAGTTTCTGCTGGTATAAGCTGAAAGATGTTGCCCTCTTCTCTACTGACTAGCAGATATAAATAAAATGCAGGAACTATCTTACTAATTTACACAAATGAGAAAAGATCTTCTGAATGAGCAAAAGTTCAGAATTGTTGGTTTTTAAAAATAAGATTATATTGATTTGGATAAAATAATAAATGTTGACTAAGAGAAATCCTTCCCAACATTTAGTTTAATGAAGTAGGAATAATTTGCCACTAGAATATTATTTACAATTAGGTAACTTTAAAAATGCCTGGAGTGCCTGAAAACTATTTGTTTCCAGTTGTTCTAATTCATTTACAACCTGTTATTGTTATTGCTGTTGAGAGGTCCTGTGTAACCCCAGCTACTGTCACTGTATAGTCCAGGCTGGCCTAGAATGCTCTATCCTCCCAAATGCTGGGATCACAGATATAAGCCACTGTGCCTGTCTTAAATTTAAAAATATGTTTAAGGGTCTAGAGAGATTGCTCAGTGGTTAAGAGCACTGGCTGCTCTTGCAGAGGACCAGGGTTCAGTTCCCAGCACCCACATGGTGGCTAACAATCTTCTGTAACTCTAGCTCCAGGAGATCCAACGCCCTCTTATGGCCTCCACTGGCATTGCACAACCTGGGTGCACTTATACGTGCAAGCAAAACTTATTCATATAAAAAGAATAAATAAATAAATAATTTTAATATTTTTAAATTAATAAATAACAATTAGATACATTTAGATATATTTATGGGCTAAGTGCACCATCATGCCTAGCTATTAACCACTATTCTGTTCTCTATTTTTATAAAAGCAACTTTTTTAGCTCCCTCATCTGAGCGAGAACATGTGATATTTGTCTTCCTAAGCCCAATTTTTCTACCTTTAATTGATTGTATGAATTCTTTCTTAAGCCTCAGTCTGAAATCCATTGTAAATTTTGGCAAATGAATAAATGACAAGATTTTATTTCATGTTGCCATATATGTTTCTGTCATTTGGATTTAGTTTTATTGTAA